TATGTATGTGTGTGCATTTATGTGTGTGTGAGTTTATGTGTATGTGTGTGCGTTCATGTATGTATTTATGTGTTTGTGTTTAGGTGTGTGTATGTTTAGGTGTGTGTATGTCGGTGTGTAATTCACTGAATCCACTTAGGGCTGCCAGTATATGCAAGGACCATGTACTAGATCACAGGTCATGTGGCTTCTCAGAGGCTGTATCCTTGAAGAAAGCCGACTCTCCTTCTCCCAGAAGCTATCCACATCCAGGGACTTCTCACTATGTTTAAATGAGAGCCCATCTTTTTTGGGGGGGAGGGGAAGAGGGTAGTTAATACTGAACAGCCTTCCAGGAATTCAATAAAGCACCACCAACTGATTCAAGGTAAACTGGGTCGTTGTGGGTCGTTTAACACAAACAAAGCCTTCTGGGTTCCAGATTTCCTAAGGGCAGGAAGTAAGGGGAGAAAAATTCCCTCAAAGGGCACATTCTTCAAAGTAGCCAAGAGGATTCTGGAAAAGGAGAAGCACCTAAGAGGGCAGATCTCAGGCCCAGTCAAGACGTTAACTTGCTTGTGTCTTGACTGCCCAGTGAGCTTCAGAACTGTGACAGACCAAGGATGCTCTGCTTTGCCCAACACCACCATCACGTTAGTGTTTGTCTTGAGTGAGCTGTTGCATCCGTGGACATGTTCATGCCTGTCGGCAATGTCAGCACTGTGTAGGAGGGCATGGTGACAGGTGGGGTCTGCCTTAGCGTTAGGTCATTGCTTTCTCTCTATAGACCTGGCAAAGGGCTTCCATTTCTCATTGCTATAGTGTTTGACAAGCTCAGGACCCAGCCTCTCTGATACGATGTTGATTCACCCATGATTTGACTTAATTACATTTGTAGGTGGTGATTTTATTTGCACAAGTCTTTTTTTTATTGTTTGTTTATTTAGAGATAGGTTTTCTCTGTCTAGCCCTGGCTATCTTGGAACTTGCTCCGTAAGACCAGGCTGGCCTCAAACTCAAGAGATCTGCCTGCCTCTGCCTCCCAAGTGAGGGAAGTAAAGGTGTGTGCTACTACCTCCCAGCTCGCACAAGTAATTCTTATCAATCCATGCTGTTAGACAGAGGGAGAGTGTTTACTTGCATAAGTAAAATGAAGAGTTGTTCTGCCTCAGTTTGAGGTAAAAAATGGAGCCAACTGCTGTTTTATAAGGTGGACTCAAAGAACCGCGCAGCAATCGTACACAGTATAGCAACTTTGTGACTTTGAAACAGGACACTGATGGGATCAAGTAGTTTACTTTTACTAAGGTGAGTTGGGTGAGTGGGACAGTAAATCTTTTTTAGCTGTCTTGGGAATCCACATCCGACCTGTAAGAGACCACAGCATTCTGGACGTTGTGAGTCACTGGGATGGATGGAATGAGCTTTTTGGTGATCTGGGCAGGCACACTGTTAGATTGACACGTTTGACAGTTGGGGTTCAAGACGTCTTTGTCCTATATGAGGACGGTAAGTAGCACATTTCCAGCGACTCGTACCCAAACACGGTCACATATTGGGCCTGGCCATCCGGTACTGATGCCACGCGGCAGCTTTTTAGTTTTTATTTCTTAACCGGTACACACTGAGTTACCAGGCTCTGTCCAAGAGGAACCACCCAATTTGTCGGGCCGAAAAGTCAATCAACACAAAAGGCATGTGGGAGATCCGTAACATCAACACCTCGGAGGCATTCAGATTAAATGAGCCCTCTCCCTGTGCGCATGCTCCTAGCTCTCACGCTATTCGCGCGACGCCGAGTGACGTCACTGGCCAGCGCCAGCAGGAAGGGCGCTGGGCGTCGCACGTGTCCGGAGGCGGCGGGCGGTCCCATGGCGAGCTCAGCGGGGCTGGCACTGTGTGCCCAGACGCTTGTGGTTCGGGGAGGCAGCCGGTTTCTAGCCTTCTCCACTGCGAGCAGGTAAGAGGCTCGGGTTGAGGGCGACGGGGCCGGCCCGGCCATGTTCCGTGTCCTCCCGGATTCCCTGTCCTCGGCGCTCCTTTACCCCGTCCCATCGCCCCATAACCTGCACGGCGGGGTCGGGGCGCGCTCTCAGGTTAGAGTTGGGGCACTTCCGGAGTCTGTGGCGCCTGCGCGGCGTCGGGAGGGTTAGGTCACGTGGGTGTCGCATCGCCCAGGCTGCTAGGGGTCCTGGTCTTCAATTCTGACCCGCTTGGAACCTCCCTGATGAGAGTCCTGTATTAGGGAGCCCTATAGGTTCTCTCTCACTAAGCACAAAACGTGCTCGCTCTCCCTGGTCTGCGTCCGGCAACCCGGCTCTAGTTAACTCAGGATGCTTGCAGAACCTGAAGTGGACTTCTCCCTGAAGGCCCTTCACACGGCATAACGTTTTGCTTTATGTTATTTCTGTCTATGTATACGTTGTGCTCGGTCAAAGGATTCTTTGAGCAAGTAGTTGATTACCACGAACCTAGAGAATCAGTGGCGGCCCGTATTGGCTCCTTTTTTCCCTTTCCCGTTTTGCTTTGGTACTTTGATATTTGAAGATCAGGAATGTCCCTCAGTCTGTGCCTTTTGGGGAATGCTATTGGCCATCAAAGTTTCAGACGTGGAAAATGACTCTTCTTTCTGCAGTTAAGTGTTTAATTGGAGAAGTCGTTGGTGCAGCCACTTTATAGGTTGTCAACAGTATCAGATGCTTTAATGGGACGGGACAGAGTCAGAGCAAAAGAAGGGAGCTTAAGTTCTAATTTGGAAAGTATGTGATTTCCATATGAGCCTGAGGCTCATGGGGGTAGGTGGGAGTTGTTTCTGAATTATGTAAGGACAACCTCAGGTGTTTTAAATTTGGGAGCAAAGCCGAGTTGAAAACAATACCAGAGGGCTGGAGAGGTGCCTTAGAGGTTAAGAGCGGCTGTTCTTCCAGAGGTCCTGAGTTCAATTCCCAGCAGCTATATGGTGGCTTATAATATCAGTAATGAGATCTGGTGCCCTTTTCTGGGATGCAGGCATACACGTAGGCAGAACACTGTATACATAATAGATAAATACTTTTTTTAAAAAAGAAAAAATATCAGAATTGGTGGGATAGCAGGGGATGGGGCCTGGCGGGGTGGGGGGGTCAGCATTGGACACTTTTAATCCTAGCACTCAGGCAGAGGCAGGTGGAGATCCAAGTTTGAGGCTAGCCTGGTCTACGGAGTGAGTTCCAGGACAGCCAGGGCTACACAGAGAAACCACCACCATAACAAAAACTATCAGAACATAATTTCTTAGAATCAACAGGTTGGTGGCTGGAAGAAGACTACATTGATTCCAGGCTTGGACGGCCATGCCACACTGAACTGATATGGAATAGGGCCAGGCTGACTGTTCATGATGTATATCCTATTAGGAGGTTAAGCAGTTCTCAGAACGTAATGACGATGGAATGTTTTTGTTCGAAGAGTAAGATGCAGTAATCCCGTGTGTTTGTTTGTTCATTTGTTTGTTTGTTTGGTTTTTCGAGACAGGGTTTCTCTATGTAGTCCTGGCTGTCCTGGAACTCACTCTGTAGACCAGGCTGGCCTCGAACTCAGAAATCTGCCTGCCTCTGCCTCCCAAGTGCTGGGATTAAAGGCGTGTGCCACTGCCGCCCGGCTGCTGTGTGTTTGTTAATAACTGCTCACTCCTATCTCTTCCCTTTAGTGATGATGACTGCATCTTCACATACGACTGCAGTGCTGCAGAGAAGAAGTCTGCGCCAGAAGATAAAGGGTGAGATGGCGGGGAAGCAAGCACGTTTGCTTGTGGTTTGAGCAGTGAGCCGGGTGAGCCAGCATGGGAATCATGCACTCACTGAAGTCCTAGTTCCCGTTACCTAGCTGTGGGGCTAGGCTAAGTTCCATTTCAGAAAGAAACATGAAGTAACTTTAAATGTAGGCATTCAGAATATGTAGGACCTTCTCAGGTACTTTTAGGTTGTTTTGTTTTGTTTTAATTTTAACTTCCTTAGAATTCATATTTGTTGCTTGCTCCTTAAGGTAATAGTGACCGTTTCAAATGAACTGCATTGAGGGCAGGTGTGGGAAATTAACTAATTGAAAGGTGTGAAGCAGCATGTGATTGTTAGATTTTCGTGAGTAGCTTAGACAGATAGATCAAATGGTTCCACGAGGGGGAGTTTATTCAGGGTGGAGGGAGGAGAGGGAGAGGAGAGCAGAGAAGTAGAGGTGTAAAGGCCAGCCATGACCACGTGGAGAGAGGGGGAAGGGAATGGGGGAGGAGAGGGGGCAGAGAGCCTGCAGGCAGGGATCAATGGAGCAAGGAGGGGGTCAAGCAGCCCCTTTTATAGTGGGCAGGTCTACCCAGCTGTTGCTAGGTAACTGTGGGGCGGGGCATACCTGGCTGCTGTTAGGTAACTGTGGAGGTGGAGTTTAGACAGAATACTAACAGTGACTGTTTTGTGTGGTGACTTGGTCTTGCAGCTCAGTTATTAATTTTATCGGCCCCTGCCTCTAGCTTTGGATGAGTCCATGTCTATGAGGACTAAGCCATGTAATTGCTGAGAGCCTTTGCAGCCTACACTGGATGTTATAACGTGTTGAGTTGGGTTTCACCCTTGGGAAATTAGAGCTGTTCTCTGGACTTCCTTGGGTCCCCTGAGTGTGTCATTGTGCTCTGACCACATGAACTGCTTGACCAAGCATCTTCTACCTTACCAGTGTGAGAATGGACTAGCCTGGCAACTCAGGCAAGGCCTAATTGTTTCCCTTTTTTCCCCTGCCTTTTCAGGGAGGACGGACAGCCCACAGACAGGGGGAGTGACACGATTCTGGCGTCCACCTTCTCCAAGTCTGGCCGCTATTTTGCTTTAACTGATGACAGTAAGCGTCTGATTCTTTTCCGTACAAAACCATGGCAATGTCTGAGTGTCAGGTATGAAATGCTAACATTGAGTCGTTAAGATGTCCTATGCACTCCTTGTACTTGCATGTCGGTAGCCATAGTGACCATTGTAATAAGCAGTTAACATGAAGTGCCAGCTGTGTATGAGACACTGATTTCAGAACTTTATAACCGACTGAATCCTAACAGCATGTGGGGGTGGCAGGGCCCGCTTTCTCTCACGCTGGGTGGTGTGGGGGTTAAGTAGCCAGTTTTGGGCTTGGACAGACAGAGCCAGCCTATGTAGAGGCTCCTCTGGTTGCAGCACCAGTACTCAGTGACACCGTGCCTCTGTGCCTTCCTGTTTTTCACGTTGCTGCAGCCTCATGCCCAGCAGGAGTGCGACTTGTTAGTTTAGCTCACGCTCAGAGAGTGTCGGGGATTTGGGTAAGTGGGAGCAGGTATCGCACTTGTCTAAGCTAGGTGATGAGGTACATCCTTTTGTGTCTGAGGAGAAGATAACAGACAGGCTAGGTGTTGGGTAAGACTAGCAGCTGCACAGGAGCACAGGTGGCTATTCTGTCCTCTCCAGGAGTTCCACACGCACTCCGCATCACTTACTACCGGAAGGCACTGTGCAGGAGATGGGTCCGTGGTTAGGGGTGGGGGTGGGGCGTAGGTGATGATGTTGAGGAGTAGGAGGCTGTGTGACTCTGTTTCCCAAGATGCTGCCTCTTCTCAGTGCCAACTTGTCCCTGTGAATGGGGGTCGGTGTCGCTGTGGTACGCAGTTGTGCTGGGGCTTAGACAGCACAATACAGATGCTCTGGGTCTCAATCTCTTGATTCTTCTGTGGCCTCAGCACACTGAGCAGAGTCGGCCAGGGCTCTGCCTGGCCCCGCCCCACCCCCCCACCGCTGATTTAACTGATTTAACTGAGCTTGAGTTTATCAGTCAGCTTTTCTGTTGCTGTTTCCAAATCCCTGACAGAAGCAACTCAAGGGTAGGAGGGTTTATTCTGGCTGGTTGCTCAGATGATGTGCTTCCGGGACAGGCATGGTGCTGGTAACATTAGGATATGTTGATTGGGAAGGAAAGGTGTGGCGGGCAGAGCTTACTGTGCTGGCTGATCATCTACAGGTAATGTGAGGAACAGAATGCAGGGCTGGACAGTGTCTCTCACGGTCTGCCCTAGGGCCTGTGTCTGCCAGCTAGGCCTTATCTCTTAAAGGTCCTGTAGCCTTCAGAACCACGCCACCATTGCTGTGGATGAAGTGTTGAAGCACATGAGCCTTCGGGATGTCACACGCTCCTGCAGTCAGGGCAGCTATGGGCAGGACGATTGAACTGCTGACGCTCAGAAATGTCAGCTGAGCTTCTTGGAGTTTTAGTTCATCCTGTCGCCCAACAAAAAAAAAGGGTTTTTTTTTTTTTTTTTTTTTTAAAAACCCTCTGGCTACTAGGTGGTCTCAAGAGCATGTGTCCACTCTGCCCCCTGTCAGTCAGCTTAGAGAAAGAGGCCTAAACCATTGCCTGTCAGCGTGTATGCTTTTGCATCTTAGATGGTAGTAGATCTGTGCGGTTTAGAAACAGCAGGGTAAATTAAACAAAGGGACACTCGATGTCCCAGGCTTCCTCAGACCCTCCCACAGACAGGTGAGTCTCCAGCAGGACGTTGGCTTTCTTTTTTAAATTTACTTACTTGGGTGTGCTGGTGTGTATATGTGTACACGCATGTACCTACATATGTATACCTATATGTGTGCTTGGGTCACTTCTCCTTCTGCCACGTGAGTCCTAGGGATAAAACTCAGGTCCTCTTGCTTGGCAGCAAGTGCCTTTGTCCTGGAACCCACTTACGGCTGACCTAGAAGGCGTGTATCTGTAATCACAGCACTCCAGCAAAGACTCTAAGCTGCAGACAAAGCTAACCTGGTGTATGCAGCGTCAAAGAACAGGAGATACAGTTCAAGCAAAATGAAAGCACGAGTACCGCCTGAGGTTGTCCTCTGACCTTCACGTGTGTGCTGTAGTACATACATGTATCCACACATGTGAACCCTCACATTTGCACAGGTTTTTAAGAGACTGTGATGGGGACCCTTCTAGGTTAAACATTGACTGAAGAGGTAGGCCAAGAATCACCTGGTCACCCGGGACAGCACAGACTCTGATGTGCCAACCTGGGATGGGGTAAGATGATCTGTGACTTGTTAGTTAGGTGCTGGGGACACAGCCCCTGATGCTCAGAGTGTGTTCTCCCAATGGCCTGCAGCCTTAGCCCCCAGTATGTGGCTCACATAAGCTGCCTCCTAGGATGTAGGAGCGTGGGAGAGTGGCTGCCGTTGCTGTGGCTTGGAGGGCAGCAGCAGTAGTGCAGGCTGCAGTCGTGGAGGTCACACCCTGGCCTGCTGTGGCTGCAGAATGCCACAGGGCGGGCCCACAGCGTGCTTTCTTTGTGCACACGGAGTCCGTTCATAGTGCCTGGAGAGGACAGAAGAGGATGTCGGAGCCCTGGGAGCTGGAGTTCAGCGACTGTGAGCGAGCACATGGGGCCTCTGCAGGAGCAGCGGGCTCTGACAGCTGAGCTGTCTCTCCAGCTCCTGCACACGTCTCTGTGTGTTTTCATCATGCAACGTTCTCAAGTCTCAGCTGCCAGTGAAACAGTGTGGCCTCTACACACTGGACAGTCGCTTGCCATTTGTGAACTTCCTTTTGTATCTTTCAGGGGTTTTGTTGTTTTATTTTTGTTTTGTTTTCTTTTTTTTGTTTGTTTTTTTTGTTTTGTTTTGTTTTTTCGAGACAGGGCTTCTCTGTGTAGCCCTGGCTGTCCTGGAACTCACTCTGTAGACCAGGCTGGCCTTGAGCTCAGAAATCCGCCTGTCTCTGCCTCCCAAGTGCTGGGATTAAAGGCGTGTGCCACCACCGCCTGGCTATTTTTGTTTTCAATAAGAGGACTTTCAAACTTTTACAGAGTTGTAAGAGCTTTTTAGAAAAATGGAAATTGAGAAAACAAATCTTTTGGAGCTGGAGAGGTGGCTTAGCCGTTAAAGGCTAGCCTCACAACTGAATATATAAGAGAAAACAAGTCCGTTGAAGTCTTGGGTTCGTGAAGTTAGGGCAGGGTAGAGTTCCCCCCTGTCTGCTGGGAAGTCTGCTGGTAGGGCGTGTGTGGGGTGAGGATGAAGAAGGGGAGAGAGAAGGGAGGTCTGGTCAGGATGGCAGCAGGGTGTGGGAGTGGAGGTTGCTCAGTCTGTCGTCCGTCCTCTCCCCCGAAGCGCCATACTCCATACTCTGGAGTTCCTGTACATCATGGGCATGGTCTCCTTGGACTCTGAACCCGCTCCCTTGGGGAGGCCACCTTTGCACCCCTGTCCTGCAGCCTGGCTCCAACATTACATGTGTTTGAGTTCGTGTGTCCTGCTTACTATTGGGGACCCCAGGCTGCTCTAGGGCTCCCTGGCTGAGGCCTGGATGCTATCCAGCTGCTGCCTTCAGTCTCCCCTCCTTCCCTTCTTCCTTCTCTCTTCCACCTTCCATCTTTTCTCCTTTTCCCCCATTTTCTCCCTTCCCCCTCCCTTTTTCCTTCCTTGGTTTTTCACAACAGTTTCTCAGTAGCCCTGGCTGTCCTAGAACTCCCTCTGTAGATCAGGCTGGACCTCAGTCAGAGAGGACCGGGTTTAAAGGCATGGGCCACTACACCTGGTTTCTCCCCTCAGTCTTCCGTGGGAGAGTTGTGGGTGACAGTGCATCAGTTCAGAGTGGTAGGGTCATAGAGACCACCACTGGGTGGGGTAGTAGCCCCTTCTTTGTCTTTTGGGCCAGAGACCAGGGTTGCCAGCTCAAGATGAAGGCACAAAGGGACAGATGAAACCTTTAGTTATGGTGGGTGTTTTTATGAAAGAGAATATTGAGTGAGAAGTTGGACCATTCTAGAAAGTGTTCTCCAGAAAGTAACAGCACACAGGAAGAGGCTGTTTGCTGGCAAGAGACTGGGTTGCTGGGGATATGAGTTGGCAGAGCTGTGGCAGACAGCTGTGGCAGATGTTTTGAGATCCTTGGTGCCCGGCAGGACCTAAGCATTGTGGCTCTGAGGGCTGGTTTAGGGCAGCACCATATATAAATGAGAGCTTCAGGGCTCAGCAGTGAGACACTCTGGCGGAGACTAGCCTGTTCTTCTCCCCTGGAGCCCACCAGAGAGGAGAGTACTCACTGTTCTATGGGGCTCTTAGCTGTAAACCCGGAGACCAGAAGATGAGGAAAGTGCCTAACACCTGCCTTCGCATCGCACTGAACCTGGGATTCAGTGGGGCGTCTGCCTCCGCTCCTGGAGTGACCTCCCTGCACACTCCTTGTCTGATGGTCTGACTTGGGCTCTAGCTGCTGGCTTGTACCCACAGCAGATACCGTCCTGGAGTTGCCTCTATGCCGTGGTCTGAGAGGTTGGCGGTGTACCATGGACATTTCTGCAGAGCTGAGTATCAGTGGTATGGCTTGGGAAGACTCCCTACAGGCAGCAAGTTCTGGGGCAGCTGGAGTCCTGCTGTGCCACCATCGGTGGCTTGTCTTGACCTCTGGGAGCTTGTGCTTTCTTGGCGCAGTTGCTCAGTGAGCCCATGAGCCCGGGTGCTAGGTGGCTCAGGCCATTTGTCTCGGTTCATTGGCCTCAGAGCCTAATTATCTTTGTCCTGTTCTCCATCGTACCCCTCTGAAGCACCTACTCGGCAGCTGCGCAGAAGCTTGTCCTCAAGCTTCAGGTTGTGTCTCAGGCCTGCATCTGGCTGGCCCGCTGCTGAGGGGCTGTGGGTCCTGTTGTGTGCTAGCTACTGCCATGCTGAGCAACAGAGGACGGAGGGCAGGGTTTCTGTGGTGAGGGTGTGTGCACTGCAGAGCATGGTTAGAACGATGGATGCAGGGTTACAGGGACAGCGGTCTGGGTGCCATCTCCTGGGACCTGGGACCGATGTTCTTTAGCTGGATCAGCTTGCAGCTAGGACTTGCCATGGGACCTGGGCCAGGGAGTGCTGTGAATGGGTTGCTAGGACAGATTAAAGTGCTCTCCAACACTGTCCCTGGATCTTGCACTGGGGATTCTGGCTGTCTCACAGCTGCTCTGTGTTGCCTGCGGCTCACATTGCTCTGGGTATGAAGGGCACCAATAGCCACTATAAGGGCATGCCAGCGCTTTAGTACCCGTGGCCTTCCTGACTCTAGCCTCAGACCTAGCAGCAGAGTCACAGATGTGCTGGGGTGAGGTGGGGGCAGGGTAGGTAGAGCCATGTGGTCCTGCTGGCTGGGGAGACTCCAGGGCTGGGGTCCAGAGAGCACGTGCTTTGTAGCCTAGATAGCACTTGTCTCCTCCAGATGAGAAGCAAAGGTTCTGGGGTGGGGAACAGCTACAGCATTTTATTAAGAGCTCTTCAGACACACAGCAGAGCTGGAGGTGTTTTATAGCAAATGCTCGGGACACAGGCCTGGGACACTCAGTCTTCCTTAGCCTCTGGGGTACTGGGATTTCAGGTGTGTGCCTGCCTGGCTTTGATTTTATGTTTTAGTTTTTTTTTTTTTTTTTTTTTTAATTTATTTTATTGATGAGTACACTGTAGCTGTCTTCAGATACACCAGAAGAGGGCATCCAATCTCATTACGGATGGCTGTGAGCCACCATGTGGTTGCTGGGAGTGGAACTCAGGACCTCTGGAAGAGCAGTCAGTGCTCTTAACCGCTGAGCCATCTCTCCAGCCCCATGTTTTAGTTTTTTGAGATGGAATTTTTCTGTGTAACCATTGCTGTTCTGAAACTCGCTGCCCTAAACTCAGGTCCACCGCCTCTGCCTTCCAAGAGCTGGGATTAAATGTGTGAGTCACCACACCCAGCTATGGCTTTCAGTTTTTGAGGGGGAATTCTAAAAGTAGGTTGAAGGCATTGTCTGTTTTGGCTCTTTGTGTTGCTTTATGTTTGGGGCCCCACCTTCTGCACTGTAAGGGGTAGGTTCTGCTCCTAACCTGCAACAGGGCCGGACCCTGTTCGATCTTCCTGAATCAGAACTGTCCAGTTACAAACACACTCACTACCCCAGACCTGTGGAGCATCGCAGCCTAGTGTCACCTTTCAGATGTGGTTGGCCCGCAGCCGAGCACGGCCATGTAAGGGAAGGCCTGCTTTACAGTCCCATTGGCCATGTGGACTTGACTGGTCAACAGTGAGACCCGGGCGTGTGCTACCCCTTTGCACTAGGTGACCTCACAGCATCGTGAGTGTAGCCATTTTAAATTGGGACCATCTGTGGCTTTAGGGTCTGAGGAGGGTCTGCGCTGACTTGGGGCACGAGGCAGCTCAGTTCTCTGACTCTGCAGGACGGTGGTGCGGAGGTGCACTGCCCTGACCTTCACAGCCTCAGAAGATCGGGTCTTGGTAGCTGACAAGTCTGGAGACGTCTACTCCTTCTCTGTGCTGGAACCGGATGGATGCGGCAGGCTGGAACTTGGGCACCTCTCCATGCTGCTAGACGTGGTATGTGGGAACACAGGCAGCACTGTCTGCTCCAGTCTCAGCTGGAGAGGGGCAGTCTGTGGACCAGGGCAGGCAGGACAGGTGGGAGAAGCATGGGGACCCCAGAGCAGGGGGCTGGAGTGGCACTGACAGGCGGGTGACACTCATTGTGCACCTTTTGACCACAGTCCGGGCAGTGTGGGGAAGTGGTGAGAGCTACTTGGCCTGTGGTCTCCCCCTTTTCCCCTCCCAGGGTTTAGTCTGTGGAACTGGGACAGCCTGGGGTGGGTGGCATCAAGGGCTGTGTGCAGTGTTTAGAATGCTGCTGGCTGCTGCTGTACAGTGTGGGGGATGGGAGGGGTGCAGCAGGTATGGGTGGGTGGCACTGGAGTTGGTCTTAGTGTGTAGAGATATGCCTCTGGCCCTTATTTAAGAACTGGGCACTTCTGAGGACCCTCTACAGTAAGGACGCTCCTGTCCCCTGCCAGTTCCCATTGCTCTTCCAAGCTGCACTTGAGCTCCCTGAAAAGCCTCCAAGGTGGCCTGGAGGAAACCCAAGCGTCCTCATGGTATTTCCAAGGCCGCCCAGTGAGTGCCTGTCTTCCTGTCGCCCCGGTGATGTAGGCTGTGAGTCCTGATGACCAGTTTGTGCTCACTGCAGACCGGGATGAGAAAATCCGGGTCAGCTGGGCTGCTGCTCCACACAGCATCGAGGCTTTCTGCCTGGGACACACAGAGTAAGTGTCACCCTGTCCCCTCCCCAGACAGGGGAGTCTGGGTCTAATAGATGAGGGTGGGTCAGGGCACCGGTGCTGTTGTAGACTGGTGGGCCGCCATGCTAAGAGCTGCTTGGAGACTTAGACTGAGAAGGCCGTCTCAGGCCCATGGCTCCCACAGATGTGAGCTGCAGAAATCAGGGCTCTGGGCTGAGGGAAGCAGTTGCTTTGAGTCTACCTCCTGGGCTCGTGCTCCTCAGCCCCTTCCCACAGCCTCGCAGTGAAACTCCGGCCTGCGTTCTGCTGCGCCTCAGCCCAGTGGGCGTGCCCTCACTCCTGCCTCAGGATCTGGACACGTTGCTGGTTCACGGCGCTGGTGTTTCTGTGGCAGCCCTTTGCTCCTCTTTGCTGTTTCCTGCTTGATGCTGCCTACTTCCTTGGGGAGCTTACCCCTCTACCTTGTGCAGGAACCTGTCACTTGAATACAGTGACTTGAGAACGAGCAGTGCCCGTTACTTAGCCTCTGGGGGTTTCTGCAGTGCCAGGGATGGAACCCCTCCTGGGGCCTTTTATGTAATGGCTCAGTTTAGTCCAGCTTTGTGGAGACCGATCCCCACTCTTAGCTGCTGAGGACTTGGTATGACTTAGGCCTGTGAGTGCACACAGCTTATTCCTCTTGGAGGGCCTAAGACTACAACTAGACCCCTAAGAGACGGCAGCTGCAGGCCGGGCCTGGGTCAGGTTGGTGGCTTGATATTGGTGTAATGGGGATGAAGGGAGCCATATGAACCCACACGTGCTAGGAGCCCTGGGTCTTGTGAGCGATAATTGAGGTCTCTGTTAAGAGCTGGGAGACGGGGCTGGAGAGATGGCTCAGTGGTTAAGAGCACTGGCTGCTCTTGCAGAGGTCCTGAGTTCAGTTCCCAGCAACCACATGGTGACTCACAACCGTCTATAATGGGATCCAGTACCTTCTTCTGGCTCGCAGGATAATGCAGACAGGGCACTCAGACATTAAAAAATATAAAAAAGGAGCTGGGAGAAGGGCCACTTTGTCGCCTGCACTGGAAATCATGGTCCTGGCCAGGAGGATTACAGGGTTGGTGTGGGGCTCCTGCAGAGCCAGCTTGCTCAGGCCCACGTATGGTGGCAGAGTGGCTGATGCTATCCTGTGCGGCTGGAGCCACAGAACTAGGCTGGGTTTTGTGGATAGAAGTTTCTGATTGGGTTCCTTGGGGTGCTGGTATTGACTGGCTACACAGAGGCCCCTTGTGTATGGCTTTCCTCCTCTCTGTTGCCCTCTGAGACTCACTGACCCAGCATGTAGGCATCTTGGATGGAGACAGGTTTGTGGGGCAGAGTGAGGTAGTGTCTCCATGCAGAGCTGCACTGGACAATGCTCTGGCAGAACTGGGCCCTGCCACCTTTGGTCCAGATGTAGTGCTGGGGACTCAAATGTGCCCAGCCATGTTCTCAGTACCTGCCGGTATGGGTGGGGTCTGCAGTGTTTCCTTTTCTGAGCAGGGTGAGAGGCTCCCTCCCGTGTTGGGGGTGACTTACCTTTGCTCCCCACAGGTTTGTGAGCCGCATCTTTGTGGTGCCCAGTCATCCTGAGCTGCTGCTTTCTTCCTCTGGGGTAAGTGTTGTGCTTGCTGCTGGGTGGTCACAGCAAAAGAAAGTATCCAGCCTCTTGTCCCCAGCTAGGGTGCCAAGTCCACCAGTCTCTGTCAGTTGTGGCCACTAGAGGGAGTGTCTTCCTGGCTCTTAAAGTGGCCCCTTTCTTCAGAGCTGTGTATAGTTTGTGCCCGCGTGTGTTTGCCTGCCTGGTCCCAGCACAGCAGGCATTGTAAGCGGACTTTACTCAGTAGGGGAGTTTGGCCATCTTGGTTCCTCTGCCTGCTGTGCCATGGCTGAGTGTCTTGACTCGCCTGTCATCATGGAGGCCTTCCTGGGTGCTCAGGCACAATTGGTTAGCTTGCTACAGAGAGTTTTCTTCATAAGGGAGCCCTAGCTGTCAGAGGGGCTCTGTCCCTCCCCCAGCCTTTTTGCTTCTGGGACAGACCTCTTGGGCCCACATGCTAACCCTTCATCTGTGTACAGGATGGCACCCTGAGACTCTGGGAGTACAGAAGTGGTCGCCAGCTGCAGTGCTGTGACCTGGCCAGCCTACAGGAGCCTGGAGAGCACCCAGGCCACAAGGTAGCTTCGTGCTCATCTTGGGTACCCGAGTATTTGCCAGCCACCTCCTATCGCTCTCATTATGGGCAAGTCCTCTCTCAGAAATATGTCCTTGTTACAAGTATGTGACTTCTTTCAGCTTGTTGTGTGGTGCCTGATGGGAAACAATTCACATCTCACCTTGTGTGTACACGGGGTCTGCCGTACAGGAAGGCCTCCGGGCATACTTAAAGGGTGATGATAGCAGACAGCCTCACCGTGTTTTGTCGGTGTTGGGGGCATGCCAGCATTCTCTGTGCTCACGGAGTCCCCCCTGGCACCTCCTGTGTACCCATGATTCCTCTGGCATCAGGGGTCTTCCCAGATTCCTCAGCTTAAAATTGGGTGGCATGGTACCTGCCCTCCCCCAGGCCAGCCAGTGAGAGGCATATCCATTTTTTTCTACACTTCATGAAACTTGAGACTTTTAGAAGTGTATGTATTACTTCCTGCCCTGGGAAGCATGGACAGTTGTGTCTCTGATCATAGCCCTTCTTCCCATGTGTCCCTGCTTTCCCACTGTGGCTTTGGAGGCATATCACAGGCCTGCAGGGACAGCCAGGGTCATGTGTGAGGATGGGCGTTGGCTGCTCTCTTCCTTCCTGTGGAGTCCAGATTGTTTCTGTGAACTCTTGCCCTGTGTTGGCATCATGTGTTGGCATTTTGCAGGCCCCATGGTGCCTGTGCCCTTACGCTCCACTGAGAAGGATACACAGGTGGCCTGGGAGCAGAGCCTTGGCCAAGCAGCTGCTTTTCCCTGCAGGGGTTGGCGGCATCCAGGATTGCATTCTGGGGACAGGAGAGCTATGTGGTGCTTCTGTGTGAGTGGTAAGACAGCGGGTCTCACTGTCAGTGGCGAGTTGGCACCCACAGGGCAGATTGAGGGGCTGGGTATAATTGAGGGGTTCCTTCCGCTGCCCCTTCTGAGTGCTCGGGCAGGTCTCTGGTGCTCTGCATTCTCTCCTGTGAAGCTCGGGGTTGGTCTTTGCTCTCCTTAGACATGAGAATATATAGGTTTGGAGAAGAGAGCAGCTCTTCAGAACCTTCTGGCTACAGCAGTGGTTCTCAGCCTTCCTAATGCGGAAAGCCTTTCATACAGTTCATGTGGTGACCTCAACCATAGTTGCTTTGGTTGCACTTCATAACTGTAATTTTGCTACGGTTAGGAATTGTAAGTGTGTGTTTGCTAATGGTCTCAGGCCTCCGTGAAAGGGTCACTGACATATACACTTGGAATGGGGTGACCATTTCACTCTTTGTCCTTTATTAGTTAGTTCTTGCTATAAAACAACTTACTCCAGAACTCAGACTGCAAACACGTACCATTTCCCAGAGTTTGGGTGACTCAGGGTCTTCAAGGTGGTAGAGGCAGGCCTAGTGCTAGCTATCTTGTGCAGAATGCTACACGGGCGTGCTGCTGTGGTGGTGACCAGTCTCTCTCTCTGGGAAAGCGTTCCTGTGGTCTTCGTCTTCCAGCTTGATGCCAGCAGACAGCAGCTGGTGTTCAGACAGCGGCTGACTTTCCCTCACCGAGTATGGGATGTTGTATTTGAGGAGACCCGGGGGCTGTGGATTCTACAGGACTGCCGTGACGCCCCTCTGGTGCTCTGGAGGCCAGTGGGCAGTGAGTGGCAGGTGAGAGTATGCAGAGTCTCCATGGTCTGGGCCTGTCGTCTTGGTGTGGGTGTGGCAGGGTGGAGCTGGGCTTTTCTCACGCCTCGAACCTCTTCAGCTTGATCACGTGTGTCTAGGTCCTAAGGCTGTAGCCTGAGGCAGCCTGTCTGCCCTGGCTTGGGTACTGGTTCCTGTGTAGAGGAGGTTAATTTGCCATCAGTGATGGGTCTTGACACCCGTCTCATTCCACACGGGTGAAGGCAGCACTAGGCCTGATGTGGGTATGCTCTTCCCATGTGCAGGCCCTGTTCCAGGGTCCTTGCTGGGTACTGATGTGCAGGGGGCACTGGGGGACATCCCTGCCAATCCCATAAAGCTTTGGGTGAGGTAGGACAGCGCTGGGAACTCTGGGCCAGCTTCACTGCCTGAGGCTGGTCCCACCAGGCCTCTGCCTGCTCTCTCTGAGTCCCAGGCTTACTTTTCACCTGCAGGCTGTTCCAGATGGTGCTGTGTCCCAGAGACTCTGCAGCCATCTCCATGAGAGCTGGGCCATGCTGGAAGGTGAGAACTCTGTTAGGTCTGTAACGGTAATGCAGAGAAGCTGTGCTGCTGCCCGTGCACTGAGGGGCAGTGGGGATGTGGGCCGAGGCAATTGCTGCCTGATGGCCACTGTTGTATTTACTGGCCAGAGAATGTTCGGCCAGCCAGGACCACCTAAACCCAGTCTCTATGAGACAAAATTATTACTCAGGAAAGATATTGCAAAGCCAGTTCTTAGACGTTAGGGTTCCTAGACTTTCAGGAGTGCTCCAGCTGTGGGTCTAAATGCCCTCTGAACCCTGCAGGCTCGCTCACCACAGAGCCGTCTAGTGGGCGATTTCTCAATTGAGATTCCCTCTTGGAGCATGAGTAGCTTGTGTTGAGTTGAAATAAAAGTGGTAGGCGGGCAGGGCAGGTGAGGAAGGTGCGTGTCCTCAGGCCTGCACCTGCTCACCCCTGGACCCCTGACTGTAGCTCGTGTCAGAGACAGCCTTTGCAGGATCTCTTACCACGTGGTATGAAACTGAGGCTGTGGGACTTGGCATCCTGCTGGCCTCTTACTCTATTGTACTCCTCATGCTCAGTCTGGTTCTAGTGAGAGTTACCTGGGGCAGACTCAGGCCAAAGCCTGTCTTCACGTCTAAGATGCTCCACGCACAGATGGAGCAGGGGGAACACCACGCCAGCCTGTGCAGCCTGAGCCTTGGCTGCTGGAGGTCAGGGAACCATACCCACCTGCAGGGTAGGGTGACCTAAGGGTCTTCTCTAGCATGCAGCACTGATTGTCCTTGGGATGTACCTCACCTGCACCTGAGCTTAACGCTCAAGGAAGTCCACTGCAGTGTGGCATGCTCTCACAGCCTGCTGAGGGCTTACAGCCTGCTGAGGGCTTACAGCCTGCTG